TATGTGCATGTGTGATCCTACACGGTGGATTAAAAAAAAATCTATTAAGTCAAAAACAGTACTGTGTCATGCTATGCAAATATACATCCAGCACCATTGGTCTACAGGGGAGTGGGTGGTACCAGGAGCTACACAGAAAAGGGTATCACAACTGTCCTTAAACCTTTCCACATATGTTAATCATCCAAAGGCAGGACTGGCAATCAAACATACAAGCACACTAGTAATATATATACCAATCTGGAGACACGTCCTGTGTATCTCCAACAGTTTTTTTTTAACGGAACTACAACATGCTATGAGACCACAGCACTCTAAACTTTAAGATTCATCAGAACAAAGCCAACAAAACTTTAATATAAAACAAGAAAAAGCTGTAAGGTCCTGTTTGGTCAGAGTCTTTCTCATGATGGTGGGTAAATCTGGGATGGCTCTTCAGATCCTCATGACGTCTTGTTCGCATATTAAAATGGGGCAGATATGTGGAGGTGGAGACTCTTTGACAACATTCTAGGTTGTAAATTGAACACACTATAAGAGTTAGTAAATATTAACACTGTAAAAACAACACTCGCTGCATACTGAAAAGTGTTAAAGGTAACACTGAATGGTGTGGTCACATATAGACACCATGCAGTGTTAATTTAACACTGGCACATTTGGTGTGCAGGCCAGTCATTTTCAACAATGAACATTGTGTGCACTGTCTCACACACACAAACTCAACTGAGATTGTTCACCAAGTCCAGAAACAAAAATATAATAATGTACAATAGCGTTTTTCTTTTACTATGCATTTTGCTTAACTCTCATCCAGTGCCACACTAAAATACTCATATGCAAACGTTTTAGTTTGTCGTTTTCAGGAGACAAGATTTCAATGTCACTTTGGCATTTTTTAACAAACTCCCCTTCATTGTATGGCTTTTTAGCCCATGCAATGTTCCAAGCCATGCAAGCATTACGGTTTCTGAGCACCTCGTAAATTTTTGGAAAAACTGTATCTACTTTTCTGCCAACTCGTGCTTGCGAAGTTCAGTTCCTTTTGTAAATTTCTGGTCGATGTTAGCATTAAGTGAGCTGAAGTGGCGCTGAAGATTTGAAGCTTTTAAATGCGCTAATGACGCCTGACATATAAGGCAGAATGACTTGCCATTACGTTCAACAAAAAAATATAAACTCTCCCACTCTGTTAAAAACGTCCTGTGTTCATCTTCATATTTTCGTTTTGCTTTGGTTTTTTTTCTTTGCGGTGTTTTCATCTCACGCACATGTGCATTTGGTGAAAATACCATATTGCACTCAAGCGAAGCGAACACGCACATTAAAAGAAAACACAACCTTAGATATGAACGGGAGCCACGGGTTGGCCACTCCTGTGTTTACCAATAACATAAAAATTTATACTTGATGTTCACGATATAGTCATTTGCTACATTGCGCGTGGAACAAGCCGAGATATATCGAGTATATTCGATATATCGCCCACCCCTACTGTGATGTATTATGAAAGACATCTGACTGGGTGTCTGATTGAGAAAAGAGTCAGATCTGTAATATTTGCCATATTATACAAATGTACCATAAACTAGAAATATGTGAATCCTGAGGCCTCTGTACAGACACTCATGTATTTGATAAAGAGCAGGACCTGTATCTAAAGAGGTCATCAGGCCTGTATTATGGGATGTCTCCCTTAGAGGTAATGCTGATATGTAAGTTAATCTTTCTGTACATTCATACATACACTTGAAATTATAGCATCAAACACCAGTAACTGACAGTAAATTAAGTTTTAAAATATAGAAATTGAAAATATTTTCTCCTGTGTTTGTGTTAATGTCCTTTCTTTCTGACTGAATGACATGTTACATACTGTGCATCTTATTGGCTAGTCTGCAGTAAAGACATCTTACCCTCATTGACTGACAGGTAAACCCATGTTCCCACAGCTGAACCTCTGCTGATCTCCACACCACACCAGTAGTAGCCAGAGTCCCCAGTTTTTAGATTGTTCATGGTCACAATGAAGACTCGATGGTCGGGATCATCTCTGATTGACACTTCACTGCTTATCTTTGGGGAATCAGTGCGTACAATAGGAGTACATGAACTCCAGTCACTCCCTCTGCACCAGAATTTCACATGTGTTTTAAATATGTTGTCATAGAAACATGGGATGGTGACAGATCCTCCTCTCTGTACAGCCATCGTGTTCGCTGTGGACACACCTGCAGGGACAGTATGAAAATTACCCAGCTGATTAACTCTCACTCCCTCTTACACCATTTATACACATATTAGTAAAGAGTAAGTACCAGTCCACTGTAGGTTACATTGCCGCACTCAGCAGATTATCAAGATTTCTTGTATTTTTTTTACTATCATTTTACTTGTCAAAGTGCAATAAATGATTAATTCATCATTTAGTATAAGATTAGTTCACAAAACCCCCCTTAGCTGCATTAAATGGTTATTAAAATGTACATATATATAGGGCAAAATCAGTAAATGAGAGACAAACTGATGCTCTATTATGGTATGTTTATAAATATATTCATGTTTGTCTGTGAAATTTCTGAATTGATGTAAAATTCACAAACTAAACCACATTTCTTAGCATATTACTGATCACCCTGAAGCAACTCAATTAAACTGACATTGTTACTACTCAGAGGTCTCATTTGAGGTATTGATAAAAAACTGAAATTCAGTCCCTCTTATATACTAAAACATTTTCTCCTGTGTTTGTATTAATGCCCTTCATTTCTGACTGAATGACATGTTACATTCTGTGCATCTCATTGGCTACAGTCTGCAGTACAGACATCTTACCCTCAGTGACTGACAGATAAACCCGTGTTCCCACAGTTGAACCTCTGCTGATCTCCACACCACACCAGTAGGAACCAGAGTCCCCAGCTGTCAGATTCTTTATAGTCACAGTGAAGACTAGCTGGTCAGGATCATCTCTGATTGACACTTCACCGCTTATCTTTGTGGAATCAGTGCGTACTATGGGAGAACATGAACTCCAGTCACTCCCTCTGCACCAGTATTTCACAAGTGTTTTAAATCTGTCATCATAGGAACATGGGATGGTGACAATTCCTCCTCTCTGTACAGACACCGTGTTCAGTGTGGACACACCTGCAGGGACAGTATGAAAATTACCAAGCTGATTAACTCTCACTCCCTCTTAGACCATTTATACACATATTGATACAGAGTCAGTACCAGTCAGTGGCGGAGCTAGAGGGCTAGTTGAGACGAAGTCCTTGCCACCCCTGTTGCCACCCCGCTGAAAACATTACACTGTTTGATTTTTACGAACATTTCTCAAATCTCCCAGCGAACGTGAATGCATTGCGTGCTGTTGCTGCTACACTTTTCATTGGTTAAGCTGACACGCAGGTATTTCGTGCTCCAAACGACTCCAAAACATCGCGGCAGCACACGCGGGATCGATGTAGAGTGTTTTTGCTGGTATGTACGGCTTTTATTGGTATTAAATTAAACGAAGTACTGTTTTAACGGGAAGTAAGGGAGACATTGCACTGTAGTGCTTAGCATTAATTAGAGCTGGGCGATTTTTAAATAAAAAACTCGATTTACGATTCGAATAGATTTTTTTTGTCTGTTACGATAGTCGCTGTGTCAGATTACACGATTTTGACTCCTAAAAATTTTGTCACGTCGTGGACAAGAAACATGTCAGACTACACGTTGTTTTCCGACCAGTCATCGCGAGCTGTCTCACACACTCTTTCACTCGCACATACACAAGCTCACTCATATAGCCTACACACACACACTCGCACATACACTCTCATACATACTGTTCTATTATTATTCTTGTGGTACATATTTGAATGTGTACAACTGCCTTGTCCTGCCTTGTTTTGACAGGTCCAAGTTTACCTCAGTTTTTGTTTACTACTGGACTTGATTAGTCCAAGGAGCACTTTGAATACTTATTCTATTTTTGCTGTATACTTAATACATATATAATTGTGTACATTTTGGAAAATAAAAACTTTAATTAATCTGTATACATTTTGTGGAAAATAATTTATTTTTAGTGTAATTGAACACTTTGTATATTGACCCCCCAAAATAATACCTTGCCACCCCTTTGCCACCCCTGTTTTAAAAGTCTAGCTCTGCCACTGGTACCAGTCCACTGTAGGTTACGTTGCCGCACTCAGCAGATTATCAAGATTTCTTGTATTTTTTATTTTTTTTTACTATCACTTTGTTTGCCAAAGTGCAATAAATGATTAACTGATGATTTAGTATAAGATTAGCTCACAAAACCCCCTTTAGCTGGATTAAATGATTATTAAAACGTACATTTATAGGGAAAACATCAGTAACTGAGAGACAAACTAATGCTCTATTATGGTATGTTCATAAATATCCTTATCTTATGTATTAGTTTGTGTGGTCGATGTGCATGCTCCCATGATCGGGATTAAGGTTGTCAGTAGTGGGGAGCGGATCGGCAATGTAAATGAGTAGTATGGGAGTGTTGCAGAGTTGTATGCTGTATAACATTTCTATCAATTCATGTAGATGAAACTTGGATGTCTTACTGACTATCCTAACAAAGTTCAAAGTTAACTTGTTGATTAATAAAGAGTCTGTTCAACAAGTCATCTGTCTTGGAGTCTTTTCCAGAGCTTTGCTATAATATATTCATGTTTGTCTGTGAAATTCATGAGTTGATGTCAAGTTCACAAACTAAGCCGCATTTTTTAGCATATTACTAACAGTGTTGCCAACTTAGCGACTTTGTCGCTATATTTCGTGAGTTTTTAGACCTCTCTGGCGACTCGTTTTCAAAAAAGCGACTAGCGACAAATCTAGCGACTTTTTCTGGTGTTATTGGAGACTTTTGGAGACTCTGACCTGAAAGCACGTATCGTCCTTACTGTTCTCACCGAGCAGCGGGTGCTGCCGTGAGCTCCTCTCCGTCCCAAAGCATTCACAGGCGGACAGTCCTCACGCAGCAGCCCCACCCAGCTGCAGTCAGAGCACGAGATGTTCACCCCAAATGAATCGCGCATGCGCGAAGCCGCCGCTGGCTGGCCTTAGGGTAGGATGTTAATTTTCTTTGTCTAAAATAAATGACTGCACTAAAATAAATCACAGATTTGATTCACACAGCCTCAGTCTGGTGAGGCTTGCTATGAGCACCAACTGCCTGACGATGGTCTACACCTTTTTGCCACATCAGCTGCTTACTCATTTAAGTCAGCTCCCTCAGTTGCTGAACCTAACGTATAGAGAACCTTGACCAAAATGATGATGACCCACTCTTTCTGTGAGCCAGCACAGCCTGTTTGTATGTGGAGGGGCATCATTTTCTTACAATGCTATTGACAGTTTTTTTCTATTGTCCTTTATTGGTCCATTTAGATTGTTAATATATATTTTATACAAAAAATGCTATGGTTAAAAATGTTCACTGTTCACTTGTTTACTGTGACTTGTACACTTAAGCAAACTTAAATAATAATAATAAATAATTAACTAAATAACTCCACCACAGTGTCTCTTTGGGGTCACTTTTGCTGGTCCCAAGTCCGGATAAAGGAGGAGGGTTGGAATTGTGATATATATAAAAACAAGAATAAAGGTCATTTGTAGTTCTAAACGTAGTTAGGCTGTTTTTTTTTTCTTTTTTACCACTTTTTGTCTCTCCCACGACATTATTCCTCTCCTACGGCGTCCATTATAATGAACATGCGCCTTATGCAAATAAGACAATGACGTCATTTAGCGACTTCTAGCGACTTTTGGGACGGCCGATAGCGACTTCCCTTGCTGAGGAGTTGGCAACAGTGATTACTGATCCCCCTGAAGCAACTCAAATTGACATTGTTACTACTCAGAGGTCTCATTGATAAAAAACTGAAATTCAATTCCTCTTATATACTTATTTTCTCCTGTGTTTGTGTTAATGTCCTTCTTTTCTTACTTAATATGTTACATACTGTGCATCTCATTGGCTACAGTCTGCAGTACAGACATCTTACCCTCAGTGACTGACAGAGAAACCCGTGTTCCCACAGCTGAACCTCTGCTGATCTCCACACCACACCAGTAGTAACCAGAGTTCCCAGTTTTTAGATTGTTCATGGTCACAATGAAGACTCTCTGGTCAGGATCATCTCTGATTGACACTTCATCCTTCTTCTGTGGAGAGTCAGTGCGTACTATGGTTGTACATGAACTCCAGTCACTCCCTCTGCACCAGTATTTCTCATGTTGTTGATATATGTTGTCATAGGAACATGGGATGGTGACAGATCCTCCTCTCTGTGCAGACACTTTGTTCACTGTGGGCGCACCTGCAGGGACAGTATGAAAATCACCAAGCTGATTAACTCTCACTCCCTCTTTCACGATTTACACACATATTAATACATGTACCAGTCCACTGTAGGTTACATTACTTCACTATGTAGATTTTTTTCTATCATTGTATTTGCAAAAATAAAAGTGCAATGAATGAGTAACTGATCATTTAATATAAGATAAGCTCACAAAATGGACTTTGCCTGTTTCCACTCAGAGGTGGAAAGTTCAGGTTCAGAAAGTACAATTCCACACCAAGATTTTGCTTCAACCAACCAGTTGAGCATAAAGAATCACAGTTAGAGTACTCAACTGGTTTGTTGAAACAAAAAAATGTACAGCATAAACAAAACTTGTTTATGCTGTACATTTTATTGTAAATTAACTTACACTAGACATTTCTAGTGCAAGTTAGACATTTCTCTAGATTTCTAGGCATATCACTTATTATATTTAACATCCTGAAGTAGCCCATTAAAACTGACCCTATTACTTCTCCAGGTCTATTGTATTGATCACAACTAAAATTTGTCCCGTGATCTACTAATGAAGTTTTTTTTGTTTTTTTTTTTAAACTGAAGGTATGATGTAAATGATGAAAGTTATTTCAAGTTTAAAATACTTCTAAACCCTCTTATCGATGGGTATGCGCATGTAATGTGAAAATGTGCCATACAAAATAAAATAAAATAAAATAAAATAATGGACATGTCACAGCAGGCATAAGTCACCGTGCTGACATGCAGTAAAACTAAATGAAAATTAAACAAGTATTGGACGTGGATCCATGACATACAGCCGAAACCCGATCCATCTAATAGGTATGGATCGGTGCCGATACCGATCCAAATATCAGATCGGTGCACCTCTACAGTTGATGTGTTCACAACAAAACATTTCACAAATAAAAATGTACACTGTCACTGCCAAACCCCAACACAGGCAAACATATACCCAACATGTCACAGTATGACAAGAAAGGTCATACAGTCTGGAGTAGAGCTTTTTCACAGACCCCTCAGCCTACATTTAATCTTTTCTAGCTTTAGGAAGTGAGTTATGTCTTCCAGCCAAGCAGCAGTAGATGGAGGAGTGGGAGATTCCCAGGGCAGCCAGATTCTCCTACAGGCCAAAAGCGACGTGAATGCAATGATGGCAGATTGGTTTACATTTAAATTCGTGCTCTCAAATGATTACATTTTTTAATCAGATTAATCACAGGGTTGCTGTGGATTAATTTAGATTAATCATGATTAAATATCCTTAATTTTTAATCTATATTAATCGCTTTTTTTTTTGCATGAGCAAACAGACTCAAGAAAATAGGGAATATATATATGCACTTAACGTGTTTATTGAACATCTTGAACACGAGTCGGATGCATTCCATCTGCCACAGAAGTGCAATACCATGGAGCCATATCAAAAAGCAAGATTTTTTGCGTAGCTGGACAACTTGTCGGTACCTCAGTTTAAATCGTCTTTATCTTCATTCACATTACAATTAGCCTGAACTACCGTAAATCTGACAAATAATCCGACTAATCATGAAATCCAATTCTAGCCCGGTTAATTGCCATTGTTATCAATATCAGTTGATAACACATTATGAGTGGTGCTTTACGTAAAAAACTCCGTAGCAACACGTCCACAGATAAGTTGGACAGTATAGTGTGTGCAACCAATTTAATGAGCCACAAATGAGAAGTAGTGCTTAAACAGTATAAAACTACTCGTGCATTCCATTTGCCCTCGGAACTCAGATTCCGAGTCGGATTCTGAGTTTTGAAGCTGTAAGTGACGACATGCGCGCTCCCGTTTCTTGGAGATCCAAGAACTCGGACAGCACAGAGGATCCCGAGTTCAGAATCCAAGATGACTGTGCCCTTTATCAACAGAAGGGAAAGTTGTAGTTTTATCCTATATGAGTTCCAAGGGCAAATGGAACGCACCAAAACTGCCTGAAATGGGTTGACAGAGACATTTCAGGGATTTTGAGTCATTCTGCACTGCAGATGGGTTAATTGCATTAAAATTTTTAATCAGATTAATAATGATGATGGATTAATCCGCGTTAACCCGTTAATTTTGACAGCCTTAATTGAAATCAAAGTCGTCATCTGCTACCCCAAATAGAGCTACAAGTTGACAAGGTTTCAATGTTATCCAAAGAACGTCCCTGATGGTTTTAAAAACCACTCTCCAGTAGCTGTCAAGCTGAGGGGAAGAGCAGAAAGCATGTGCTAGATCAGCTGGAGAAAGGGAGCATCTGTCACAGCCAGCATGACGATGATAAATCCTTCATTTGCCATTTGCACAATTATGAGTACAGGTACACTGGAATTCTTCTCTTTGCCTGCCCCATCTTACTCTCCACAGCTGGAGGGTCACAGCACAGGGTTCCACACTGTCCTCCTCAGCCCCAGCTGCCAGAGGACTCACCCCATGTCCTGGCCATGGCTGTTCCAAGTGGGCCAAGGGTCAGTATGGAGCCAGACGGTTTTGATTCAATCAACGACATCCGCACCCTGTAGACCACCTTGGAGATCAAGTCCAGGACCACCCTGGGGCCCCTCCAGTGGCTGTCCAGCTGGGACAATCGCCCCATCTTCCTGATGAGACAGTACAGTCCCCAGGTTGGAAGGCCTGCTCCCCGCAGCGGTTGTCACGGGCTCGCCTCTTTCTGGCCGTGTCCTGATGTTGTCTGGCCAGCTCGTGCACGGTCTACATATGCCCCTTATGCTGGCACAGGTAGTCCAATCCTGGCATCACCGGGACCTCCAGCTCAGGGGGTGAGTCAAACACCAGCTCCACTGGAGACTGCAGCTCATGGGCAAACATGAGGGGAGCATGGGTGTAGCCAATGCTGTCCTGCACCACTGCATGATAAGTCCACAGAACTTGGGGAACGTGGATGTCAGCGACCCCTTGTGTCCAAGTAATATGTTGATGGGGTGCGTTACAGATGAAAGATCAAGGAGGAATTTCCCTAAGTAATGATCATTCCCACCATCTGACATAATTCTGTGATGTTGGTAGGACTGGGCAGCTCTGTGATGGCTCTAACTTTACCCATATCAGGTTTAATGCCATCTTTCCCTATGATGTGTCCAAAATATTGACACTTACGCTTGTTTAATTTGAATCCAGATGTTCTGATGGTTTGTAACACTGCCCTGAGGTTCTGATCATGGTCTCTTTTATCTTTACTGAAGATGAGGATGTCGTCCACAACTACCACAGTGCCTGTGTGGTCTCTTAGAAGGGTGCTCATCTTTTGCTGAAAGATTTCTGGGGCTGACATTATGCCAAAGGGAAGTTTCCGGAAACAGAAACAACCCACTGGTGTGATGAAAGTTGTTAGTTTCCTACTTTTAGCATCTAGTGGTACGATTTGCCAAAATCCACTGGAGGCATCAACAGTGGAAAAAACAGTTGCACCTGACAGGTTGGTGCTATGGCCTCGAGCGTGAGTAGAATAAATCTCTCTCATTTTACTGTTTTGTTGAGCTTTGTTAAGTCCACGCAAATCCTGGGTTTCTTATTCTTTTTAATCACTGGCACTAAGGGGGACACCAATCAGTGCCTCCTTCACTTCTTCTATGATGCAGGCCCTGGGCATCCAGTGATTCTAGTGCGTCCACTCTACGAACTAGCCCCATTTTGATCGCTGTTTTAATTGGTTGTAAATGGGCCTTTCATCACATATATCCAAAATGTGTATTTCACACCAAGTCCAAAGAATTTTCCTTTGCAATCCAGTTTACCGTCGGGACTAGTGAAAATTGCTTTAGTGTCTGTCAGGGCAGGGCACTGGGGTAAGCTAAGATATGTCTGTTCTGATATTACTGACATATCTGCACCCGTGTCGATTCTGAATTGCACGGTGGTACCATTAATTTGCAGATCTGTAAACCATCTGTCTTCGTTCATCTGTCTTCTGTCACAGCGCCTAAGAACCATGCACTGCCCTCATCACTGTTACTATCAGTCAATTCCACTGCCCTCACAGCTTTAGTTTTGCACGCTATTTCGAAGTGGCCTGTTTTATTGCACTTACGGCAGTGTTTTCCAGTTGCTGGACATGTTCCAAACTCATCCTCCCACACCTCAAGCACGTATTTTTCTGTGCTTTAGCCTGGTCACTTTTAGCTTTAGTACGTTCTTTCTCGAACGGCTGCGACAGTTTAAAGTTGCGTGTGATCGCACTTACTTCAGTCTTGGTGGCTCTTGCTGTGGCGTGTTGCACTTTAATTAACTCAGACTGGGGAGCGATGTTAACCACTTTTTACAGAGTTAGATCCGGTTCTAATTGTAGTTTCTGGGATTATTCAGTGTCCGCAATTCCAATGACAATTCTGTCCCTTATATGTTCATCTTTAGCAGCTCCGAAGTCACATTATTCCGCCAGTTCGTATAAATATCTCACAAACGCCTCGACATCTGTGAAAGCATGCACGCTCGTGGATATTTCGCTTTGCCACAAAATGTTCATCAAACTTCCTAATAACCTCTCCATAATAGTCCTCAATGTCCTCCAGAAAAATAAAAGTGCGAATATAGGCTCTGACTCCATACCCATAGCGTAAAGCAGGCCTTATGACCATGCGCAACATGGATGCAAGGGTTGGACTGGCATATATTGTGGGTGGCACCACCCATCCGGCTTTTCCTGGTTTTTGTTCGGGGTGAGGGTGCGGCGCTGGAGTGGCAGTTTCAGGCAATGACTCTTGGGCCTCCCCGGAGCAGAGAGAGAGTTTGGCACCGGGGAGAGATTTGGGGGACCAGCTATTGAGCCGCGCCACCAGCCGGACCTGTATGAGGGAGGGTTCCAGGGGCCATTTCCCATTGTACTGGGGCAGCTATAGGTGGGCGTTCACCGCGGTCGGCCGTGTCCCCATGTCATGCCGCTCCCTGCTGAGCTCTGTCACCTTTATTCTCAGGTCTGACACCAGTGTGGTGCAGGTACTAAAACTAAAAACTACATTTTGGTCCTACATAAATGTTAATGAAGTTTTAAGATATTGAAACATAATATTTCTTAAAATATTATCTCCTGTGTTTGTGTTAATGTCCTTCCTTTCTGACTGAATGACATGTTACATACTGTGCATCTCATTGGCTACAGTCTGCAGTACAGACATCTTACCCTCAGTGACTGACAGGGAAACTTTTTTTCCATCATCTGGATGAAAGTTGATTTCCACACAACACCAGTAGTAATCAGAGACCCCGGGTTTCAGATTGTTTATAGTCACAGTGAAGACTCGCTGGTCAGGATCATCTCTGATTGACACTTCATCCTTCTTCTGTGGAAAGTCGGTGCGTACTGTGGTACTACATGTAAACCAGTCACTCCCTCTGCACCAGTATTTCACATGTGTTTTATAACTGTCTTCATAGGAACATGGGATGGTGACAGATCCTCCTCTCTGTACAGACACCTCTCCCACTGAGGACACACTGTCAGCACCTGTGGGGAAAACAACCAACTGAATTCACATTTTCAGCATCACAGTATCTCTTGTTAATACTATATATTATCAGTGTGTGATAATATATAATATTAGGGATCAGTATATAATACCAGGGAAACTAAGAAAATCATGGATTTGATCAACTGGTCTCTCAATGCAATTGACACCATCTTCTCGAAGAGAAGCACAGGTTCAGGGGAACCTGACTGTCCTGCAGGAACGTATGCAGCTGGCTACACGATGGACGGATGGGAGAAGTGGAGGGTCGTGTGTCTGGCAGCTCTGTCCGTGGAGGACATCGAAGACATTTACCTATTCGGAACCATGATTAGAGGTCTGATGCTGATTGGATTAGGCATTGCCCTGGTTTATCAAAAATTGAAGAAAACGGTGACAGCTGCTCAAAGCCCCACTAGGCTGGCCGGGATGATTGGCAGAGCTGTTGGCACTCAGACTATGGCTATAGATCGCAAATTGGATAACATCACTGTGACTATTGACCGCAGATTTGATAACATCACGGAGAAGCTCACGGCTTTGCAAAGGATTTTGGATGGCGGAGACCAGCGTGGACATTAGAGGAGCTGCAAAATTACAGCTTCTCACCCGAAAACCCAAACAACCCCATTCTATCTGCTTTTGGCTCCCCCCTAATCAGCACGGGCCTTGGCCAAGGCCGCTGCTGAATTCAACAACTCCCCCGGAAGAACAAGGCAGTGAGACTCTCTTGCATCCCTCTCCCCCAATCCCAAGGACACTCTCCCCCCATCCCACGCCTTCGCCGTTTCATACCCTGAGCATGAACAGGCGGGTCTGTGACCAGCGCCTCTGGCTGCAGGACCGGATGGCTGTTTGTCTATGCTGGGCTACCTCCACCTCCCCATTTCCCTCCCCTGTTGCGAGTCACGACTTTTTATGTTGTAAGGTGTAGTGACTATGTGCTTATGTTGCTGAGGTGTTTTTTTCTTTTCCTACATTGTACTCCCTACTGGAGTACAGTCTGGGGGCTGTTTTTTTATTCTCCTCCTCTCTTCATGTAATCCTGTTTTCTCTGTTTTTCCTATAATTGGTTGAGTGTTCTCTAGTTTTGAGTTAAGCATTAGCAGATCAAAAACACACTCATATAGGTTAATTCTAGGATTGGGGATGGGAAGTCTGATCGTGGATCAGCACAGGACCTTGCTGCTTTTGAAATGCTTACATTTCTAACTCTGCCTCACGACCCATTCAGAACTTGCCATGACCCAAATATGGGTCACAACCCATTGGGTTGAGAATCGCTGCTCTAGGGGAGGGTCACTCTGCTATCATTCCCATTACGGGCACATAGCCAGGATTCATGTCATTTACTGAATGGGGATGAGGAGTCTAGATTGAATTGTGTTTCAGTGCAGAGTAAGGCTGTGCAATTAATTGAATTTTTAATTCGATTT